CAACGAGGCGAGCTCAAACCAAGGGACCGGAGCATATGAGGAAAGTCGACGGTTGCCACGAGCCCGAGAGAAAGGCGCCCTCAAACCTTGATTGCACGGTGCCTACAGCTTCCTAATGACCCACCAAGCAAAGCTAATCCAGAGAATCACGAGCACGTACCTACTTACCAACCCGACGCACTCCACCACCGGCGGCACGAGGTAGTGACACCAGCCAGCGATGCCGTCGTACGGGAGACAAACTCGAAGATTGCCGCCTTCAAGTCCGTCAACCGGGACCGTGTACATCCATTTAACCAAGAGTCCGTATAGAACAATCGGACCGGAAGGGTACACAACCTCCGGAGTGGTGCTATCGAGTGAGTTTGCAGAGCCGAGACCCAATTGCCATCCTGAACAAATCCAAGCTACCTACTACAACCCCCAAGAGAGCAAAAGTACCTGTACAAAGCAAATGGAGAACAGAGTGGGGCGTTGAGCGCCACACCGCCGGTAACTCTGTGCTTTGAAGCGGAAGCCGAAGCGAACCGCAGTGCGCTGCCACTGAAACCACCGTGAGGAGAGCACTAAGCCCAACCTATGAAGCCTCCACGCAACCCACCAGAGACCACCAATGGAAAACAAAGCCAGAGCAAGAAGACCGGAGCACACAGCTCCAATCCGGAACCCCAACAAGACGCCGTACCCACCCTCAGCCACGCGCCACCCTGAGAGATGTGAGAACACTTGGAGAGGACCACCGACGACCCACGCGCCGCCAAACTTGAGAGAGCTATAAGATCTGAAAAACCTAACCGGACTGAAACTCCAAGAAAGAGGAGGAGAGTGGTAAGGTGAGACAAGCGCCGTCCTCAAGCGCATCCCACAGCACCGAGACCCTTGAACTCTACGCAGGGAGCACTGGATCTGAACCGGAAAGAAAACCTTGTTTAGCCAAACCTCCGCCGAGACCACAGAGACATACAAGGAGGAGCGGATAAACACGAGATCTGGGGCTCCGACGACCGCGCGACCGAGCGGAGGACACGGCAGTCGCCGGAGCAGGAGGAGTTCACGGAGGAGTTCTTTTCCTTAGAGAGAAGCTAGAGAAAATAAAGTAAGAGAGGAACCTTAGAAACCCTTGTCTTTACATCTCATTTTATACAGTTCTGGGAAACATTATGTTAAATGTTATACAGAAAAACTGAGTGACATTGAACCAACCCTATCAAATCCCACCCATCTCCATTTATGCATTTCTCATTCTTCTTCTATTTTTTTTTTGGCTGAAATGTAACTTATCATATGCATTAAACTCCCATTCCCATTCCTTGATTTTTAAAAATTTAGTCGTAAGTACTTAACTATAGGAATATATAAGGCTTTCTTTATTTCGTTAAGTTAATACGTGATGGTTTTGAAGGAGTTCTTAAACTCTTTGAATCTTTCAAAATTCTGGAAAAAAAAATAATAGCAATGTGGAAATATTAATATTTGTAGAGAAACATAACGAAAAGGACATGCCTCACGGGTGATGTTATTTTTCTGGCTGTATCTTCTTCTTCTTCATCTTCTCCCGTGAACTCTCCGTCTTTTTTCGAGTAGTTTTGTCTCCCTTTGGTTGGGATTATTTATTTTATTTGTTTCTGTTTTTGGGTTTTTATCTTTATTCTCACGACAAAGTTTTCTATGGCGGGGCCTACTTTCATTTTCAGCCCAAACAATCTCATAACGGCCTGTAAACAGTCTTTAGATCCAATCACACCAACCAACATTTTTATATACATTTCATCTGAAATCTAAACAACATTCATAAATAACCTGAAAGCATAATATGTAACTCAAGTAAACTCAACATAGTAATGTAAATTCTTATTCCTGGACAAGGAGTAATTTGCCAGTAAACTGTACATGGCCTTTCAAAGTTTACATATTCCAGTTTAAATAAAACATTTCCAATTTAAACTCACCAAATATCTTTGGGAGAAAGAGACATAGAGAGAAAGTCAACAAAAAGAGTAACTGTCAATGGCATTGACTTTTAAGTCACAAACTTATACCATTACTAAATAGTTAAAGAACAAACCAAGTCCTTTCTGATATTTTCCCCTTACTCATCTTTTACTTCGCTGGCCCAAGGCTCTCATAGAACAAGATGTAACCATGATCAGTGTTGCTCGAGTACTCCTGAGACGATCCAAAGAATGTTTGCACAGCTGATTCTTCAATCATCTCCACGTTCTCATCATCAAAGAAGAGCCAATGGTTATGGCTTTTCACTAGGCTTACGTAATGACCATGGTTTGGTCCACTGCCCACATGAACCACCACTGCAAAGAGTGAGTACTCGACGTCCGTGTATGGCTCCACCGTGTTGCTCAGTTTTAGCTCCAAAGGGAAGACAACTCGATAAGATAGCTTCTTGTAACGGCCTAGCTGTTCCATGTACTTGAACCGCTTTAGATGGATGACTAAGATGTGTGGTGGCTTCTTGATCTTCATTCTCTTTTGTGCTTCTTGTAAGCTGCAACAGAAATGAATTAGGCTTAGGTCATTGCTAAGAAACTTCCTTCACGCGTAACAAGGTCATTACAGGACAAAAGGCAGCTTAAAGGCTCTACTATTTAGTTGCGGCTGTTACAGGAAAGCTGAAATTTGGAAAGCAATGACCTGAGACTAAGAAGAACCAACTTGGTACCTGCAGCATTTGTCACAGAAAAACTTGTCTTCAGCGTGAAGAGTCTCTGTGGAGCTGAAGTTTTTCAAACAGCTAGTTATGGAACTGTTCTGTTCGATATCAAGGCTTAGATCTAGGAACGTTTCGTCTCTTGCTGTCACTGTCTCGCACCGCAGACACCTTGTCTCGTTGGTAAGTATGCCCTGTGTACATATTCCAAATAGAACTTTAGCTGAAAATTGCAATATGTAGTCACGCCTTTAAAAGAAAAGTGAATCGTTTCAGTAAAGAGAACTGACCTGAAAAATATTGTGCACCCAAGTAACAACTGGCTCTTTGTGCACACCATTTGCCAGAGGAACTTTTGGTCCGTTTGCAATCTTTTCAGGAGATGATGATGATGAAGAAGTCTTATGTTCAGTTTTTGTAGCTTTAGCCTCTTTCTCTAGTATGTCAACAACTTCATTCAGCAAATAGTTGAGGAATTCATGTGCATCCTAACATGAGAATAGTAGTGCCAGTTTAATAAAATGTATACTGCCCTTTCCACATCTTTGTGCAAAAAGAATAACGCTTAGAAGAGGAATTTGCAAAAAGCACCTGGTGCATGTAACTCCGGAAGAGCTCATTCTGTTTCTTTAACCTCTGCACGAATCGCTTAGGCGCAATAACACCCGTTTTCTTCTTCTGGGAACTTATCTACGGAATAAAATACAACGATCACACATCATTTCCAGAGAAAATGACTACCACGAGAAAAACAGACTAGATGATGACAGGGTATGGGTTCAAAATATTATGTGCTACAAAAGCAATTTTACAATATTGCAGATACCCGGAAATAGACACAACAGTAACAGAGAATTTACAGTGCAAAAGATAAGTAACATCTACATATTAACTAGTGCGGCCTTTGAATACTTGATTTGCTCCATTATTGATCTAAAACAAGCTTGCCTAAGAGATATATAAATATATATATATATTAAGCCGATGAAGATTGATCACTTGAGTTAAGAACCGATTGAAGTAATGAGTAGAACTAATAACCTAACAAAAGGAAAAAGAAAGCCAAATGCGGTAAATACCTGAGAAAATAAGTCAGCGAGGCAAGTCATAAGATTCTCCTCAGCATCGGCGACGCTTTTATTACTGGTATAGTATTCAAGCAATTGTTCACGAAATGGAACACAAAAATAAAGAGCCTGCACCAAAGATGAAGGTAAGAGATGCAACACATAAGCATTTGACTTGAGATTACACTGATTAACGACAAACAAAGTTAATCAGGAACAAAAGTGCTTTCTCTAGTAGAGAGAAGCCATTTATACACATACATACATACATTAGCATACCCAACAGAGCAGATACACAAATGCAATTTACCTAATAATCCCTAATAAAAATCTAATTTCACATGTTCAAGATGCTCTCACTTGACCGACCAATAAAAACGTCTTTCCAATCACACAGTTATCTACAACATCTGGTTTTCAAACTTCAATTCGAAAGAGCCTAATAAGAAACGCAAATCGCAATGCACAAGTTACTCAAGTTTAAACCTTTGAATCGAATTCGATAACTAATCAGGTCAAACTGAACAAACCCCAGAAGAAATCGTCGAAGGAGCATCGAATTAGAGATGGAGAGAATCCAAAAGGATAGGGATTAGAGGGGACCTGCAAAACGCTGTTGCAGTAGCAAGTGTTGCCGAAATTCTCGAAGCCGAAGTAGCGTTCTCCTTCGGGGAACTGGTCGCCGAGAGCTTTCTCGAGTTTGGACCCCGCGGCCCCCATCAGCCCTAGCACTAGCTTCCGTATCACCGTCGTTTCTGATCCTCTGTCCCCTCCTCCGATCCTCAAAAAAAAAGATATCTTCTCTCCGCCTCCGCGTCTTCGTATTGTTCGATTCGATCGGATAATCCTTCAGGAGCCTCTCTCACTGCGAAAGAGGATTTGATTTCATTAACCAACCAAAAACAAAACAAATCTTTTATTTTATTTATGGTTATAGCGAATCAAAGGAAGAGAGACATCAAAAAAAAAAAAAAAATAGTCAAAATTGCAAATTGCACCTCCAAAGTTATAAACTTTACGAAATATACGTCGATTTTTATATTGATCTACTCGTGTATGTTTTTATTAGTTAAATTTTAGGCCTTCATTGGGCTCAGGGCCTAGCACTGGTTATCTTACATCAATAGCTGAGCCTCCGTATCATTGGGCTACGAATTATGAAGATAGAGGCCCAATGCTAGAAACCTCCTAGCAAAGATGGAACCGCCTCCTCTCTTGACTATTCACAAGTCTGATCAACTTGTTAAACTATTTTTTTCTTCATTGATGCAAAAAAAATTACAAGCAATCAAACAAGTACTGCAGTTGTAGAGTGTTGAATCTGTTTGTTCAGTATATTTTTCTTTATATGTAAAGTTAAACAAATTTATTTGAACAAGAACAAAACTCTAGCAAAATAAAGTTAGGAGAAATCATGTAACCAATATATAAATAGTATAGCTTTAAAAATCACATGGTTTCTGAATGTGTGTTGGTAGGTTGGTAGATGGAATAAAAGTCATCACCATTTCCCAAAAGATTGATTGGTCTCCAATAGTGACCCATTCAAACATACCCAAAAAAAAACAGTCTATGATGTATTTAAATTTAAAAATATCAAATATGATTTATTAACTAATTAGCAAGTTGAAGAATTTTTTTTTAAAAACTAACTAGTTAAATTTAGTATGATGTTAATTTTGGATAGTTATTTTACTGAGGGGTTTTTATGTTGTAATGGAATATGATCATGTGTGTTTTTTTGTGGAGGGCCATAAAGTTGGTGACATTAGACTCCTCAGCAATTTTCTTTCCTTCCTCTTCAATTCCCCCCCTCTTTCACTATATATTTCAAATAATTGAGTAGCTTTCTTATACATTAATCTATAGTAAGCAGATTTATTTGTACAACCATCCAGGATCTTCAGTTTCTGTGATTTTTTTTTTGTAACAATCAAATGGAAGGATTAGCTATCAGAACAACAAGACCGTCTATTTTCTGCTCTCTTCCAGGTCTTGGTGGCGGGGATTCTCAGCAACGACCTCCAACCAACGGTTCCCTCAGGTTTCCGGCGTCGTCGGCCGATAACACAAAACTAGTCGCAAATTCTGTTTATTTTCGCCCAATCTCCGCCGTCAACGTGTCTACTCAAGCTTCCCTCACTGCCGATTTTCCCGCCCTTTCAGGTACTTTTATCCGTTTCTTTCTTAAAGCAGATCCCTCAAAATTGTCAAACCTAAGCTGTCTTGTCTGAACATTTCGAACCTTTGCTCTGTTTGGTCAGAAACCAATGTGAAAGAGGAGAGAATAAACGGGGAAAAGAAGGCAGACAACATCGTATGGCACGAGAGTTCCATCTGCAGAGGCGACAGACAACAGCTTCTTCAACAAAAGGGTTGTGTCATTTGGATCACTGGTCTCAGCGGTTCAGGGAAAAGCACTGTTGCTTGTGCTCTAAGTAAAGCTCTGTTTGAAAGAGGCAAACTAACTTACACACTTGACGGCGACAATGTACGTCACGGCCTTAACCGGGACCTCACTTTCAAAGCTGAAGACCGTACCGAAAACATACGCAGGATCGGTACAATAGTTTCTTACAAAATTACAAATAAACTAATCAATGTTTGGTTGGTTTAAGTAATGATATGATTGAATGATGTTGAACTTCAGGTGAGGTGGCAAAGCTGTTTGCTGACGTTGGCGTCATTTGTATAGCAAGTTTGATTTCTCCTTACCGGAGAGACAGAGATGAATGTCGGTCGTTGTTACCGGAGGGAGATTTCGTGGAGGTACGTTAACGTTATACCTTATAGTCCGATCCAATGTTATGTAATATTCTTGTAAGTTCATAAGATAAACGTTATAGTAGTATATATATTGAGATTTTACCAATGTTTAAATTGATTTAGGTTTTCATGGACGTTCCTCTTTCTGTGTGTGAGTCAAGAGATCCAAAGGGTTTGTATAAACTCGCTCGTGCCGGCAAAATCAAAGGTGCTAAATTCTCAAAAAAAAAAACAAAAAATCATAGGCACTAAGTATTTTTTCAAACCGTTGACTTTGACATATTGACCTTAGAACTTGGAACTTTAAAAAAAAAAACAATTACTGATATTGAAACTTTTATTTGAATTATAGATTTTTGGTTCTGTGATGACTTTGTTGAGACTGTTTAGTGCTGAAATCAATATTTTCCCATAGGATGATATTCTTTGTAAACAAAAAAAATCTCTTATTTGAGTAAATATTATTCAAATATTTTTTTTTTTCATTAGTTTGTATGGGTGTGTTTAGAATTTTCAGTAGAAGTATTAAGGTTGATTTATCATTGTTCAGGATTTACTGGAATCGACGACCCTTACGAGGCGCCATTGAATTGCGAGGTTAGTGACGTTTATTCAATGATCTAACTGAAGTTTTTTTCTCACGAAAACTTCTAATATGTTACTAATGATGTATGTATGTATTACAGGTCGTGCTGAAACACACAGGGGACGACGTTTGTTCTTCTCCACGTCAGATGGCTGAAAACATCATCTCTTACCTGCAAAACAAAGGTTACCTCGAAGGCTAAGTCAAGTCTGGAAAAATCAAAGACAACAAAAACCCCCATATTTGTTGAATATAATTAGATTTTTCATAATCATGTTTACATGATTTCTCTCTCTCTGGTTTCCTCAGAAGCTTGAGATCTGATATGACGTTCGTCAATTACTATCATTTGTTTCTTGAATTCTGTTAAACTCCGAACTCGGGGGAAGGATAAAATAAATAAATACTATATGAATTACATATATATGCTTTTAATTTCTAATTAGCATTTAGTTAGGTAATTAAGAGTTGTTTTTTGCTTAATGTTATCGACTGTGTTGTATAATGTCGTTGTAGTTAATCTAGTCTTCTGTATTTTAACTCTGTTGGACTTGGTGTACGCTGGTAATCAATTCTTGTAATTTTATATGTTTTGCTATATATAATATTTTAGTTAAAACCATAAGTGTTTAAAATACATAAATCTAGGTCAAAGTCAAACCATCGAATTATAATAGAAAATTGGAAAATAAAATTAATTAATTAAAAAAGAGAAACAATCCTGATATTAACAAAAAATCTAAAAAACTTCTTATAATAGAATGAAGGAAGTGATTTACCTCTGTTATTGAACACGATCAGTAGGAAACGTAAATATTCATATTAAAAAGTTCAAACATTTTTTCCAAATTTGAAAGTTTGAAATTTCGTTTTGGAAAGCAAAAAAATTTATATTTGAAGTTATAAAATTTCTTTTGAAGATGTTCTTATACATTCAAATTGATTTGTTTTATAAAAAAAAAACAAATCTTAAACTCTATGTATTTTTTTGTACACCTGTATATACAAACAATATAAAAGAAAACGATAAACGCACATTGATGTATCAAATCTAAATATCATTGCATGCTTGGTTGCTGATAATTCTTTTATTGTTGATAATAAACATAAATATATATATTGGTTGGATTATTCTAGTGATATCGAAGAATTTGTTCGCTTAAATCAAATATTCATCTACTAAATTATTTACATTACAGCTATATATTTCTTAGGAACTACTAGCATATTAGAACCATGACCATGAATTTGGTTTCAATGAACGACGTGAATTAAATATCTTGGTTTGCGGCGTCATGTGACTCGAATGTGAATCTTGTAGGAATAGAGAGTAACGACATGAATATTACGAAACAACCATGAGTCAAAATGACTAAGTTTTATAGTTTTTTTTTTTTACGAAAAGAGGTGCAGTTTGAGAAATTTGACAGGTGAAGTTTGACGGATGGCGCACGTTTTTAATCTCCGCATGCATATATGTTCAGGCAAATATGAAATATCTACATTTGTTGTTGGCAAGGACATGGCGGAAACAATCCACGTGACTTAGGTTGATTAACTTTTTTGCCCATCACTATGATATAGCATATATTTATATATTGATCATACAAACTGATAATTCAGTTTGTTGTATTCATTCAAGTAGATATAGTGGCGCTTTCCCCAAACAAAAAAATTGGGAATTAGACTGAATCTTATTATACAATAATCCAATATATTTATATATTTGGAATCTGAAAAAGAGTATATGTTTAATCCAAGTTTCGGGTCTGTACACCAATTTAGACTTCAAAATACTGGAAAAGAATAAAACATTTCGGCAAGTGGTCATGCTTGAGAGTATTAAACATATACTCTTTTCCAGATTTTGATATGTATGTGCGGAAATTGACTACAACTCAGACCTGTTCTTTTTTTTTGGACAAACTCAGAACTGTTCAAAATATATAAAATACGAATTTCGAGTCTACCGTGTGTTTGTTGATTCAATATGTTGAACACGACATACAACAATATATATTGAACTGGTCTTGCTAATGAATTATTGGTTTCATTCAATTAGCGATGTGAAGAACTACGTACACCTCTTCAGAAAAAAATAAAAAAAATAAATACGTACACCATCAAATGCTTGAAAACATCGTTGCATAATTTTGATACTTGATTGACAAAGGAAAAAAAAATCATTGAAAGGTATGGTGCGTAAAAAACATAGGTAAGAATCAAGTGGATATTATTATCGTAGACCACACGTCTAATATCTTTAAAGCTTTAACTTCCGTTAAAACCTCACTCTAAAAAAAACCCACTCTAAAAATTTTGGATTAATCATCATCTAACTTAAGTTTATTTTTGTTATGAACTACGAACTTAAGATGTTATATTGCATTTGTACGAGAGTTCTCTTTGTACTATTGCATTTATCTTACAAACCAATCCCTTTTAATTATATGGTTTAAGCACTAGCTAGCTAGCCTTTACCGAAGAAATTTAGAATAAGTAAGATAGTGTAATCAATTTTACCAAAAAAAAAAAAAGATAGTGTAATCAAACGGGAAAATAACTCTAAATAACAAAGTGTACCGGTTACTTTCCAAATTACCATAAACTTACTGAATTCTTTTTTTTTGGGACACGATAAAAGAAAAAATTTCTTGTGAAAACGCATGAAATTTATCACGTTTATTTTTGAAAACTTTCGTATATTCATAAAAGCTTAAGAAAACACAGAATATCCTGTGATATTTTGGAGAAATATCCCATCTTATAATATCTTTATAAAGAAATATACCCATGATTAATATGGTTAAGAAAACAGTAGGGCTAACCATTTAGATACGATATGTACGTATATATGTAAGAAATGAACATTTTATTTTTTGTTTTTTTTTTCTTTAAGAAAAAAAAGAAAAAAACATTTTGTTACACATGAGTTACAAAAAAAAACATTTTGTTACACATGCATGCCCGTATTTAGGTCACACATTAAATCATAATTATAATCATCAGTAGAAGAGTATTCTCTATATTAGAGATAAAGTATCCTACATAAAAAAATTTAGTGAAACTTAAATAATACTTATAAAAATATTAGGATCAATTCCTTTCACCAATTAATTTTAAGTTGGACATAATAATCTAATCATGATATGATTTCAGAATCTAGCTCTTAAATAGTTTAAATCTTTAAGTAATTAATTCTTTTGACGGATATAAATGTCGTAGTTAATCCTTCGACTGGATATAAATGTCATATATTAGATTTGCTCGACCGAATATAAATGTCATAAAATTCTGAAGTTTTTAATCAATAAAAACCATCATCCAAAAAACATTGAAAATTTAATGAGACCTTAAATAATATATAAAAGATTATGATCATTTGTATCACCTCTTAGATTTAAATTGAAAACATAGAATATAACCAAACCTAATTCTCTACTCTTACTACATGTTAATTGATCTTAGTAACACCTGGAATTTTAAACTTCGCATCGAAAGTCCGATCTCTCTCTACAACCATTCATTTCGATTCATGCACGCAAGAACATATCGTGGATAGCCAAAATGATTTCACTTGTTAAAAGTAGGAGAAGAGGAAACAATGGTGGTCAATTTATCATAAGAAAGAAAGAAAAAAGACTAAAGAGTGAAGGTTTTAAACGACTTCGATCATCATCAAAAGTCAAGAAGATATTTAAATGAGATTAAAGTTGAAATTTTATATTACTATCTATCATTATTATTGTATTGTAAATACTATTAAGCTTCAGCTTTTCACATTTAACCATTTTTAGTAATCATTTTGTGAGTAGAAATCAGTGATTGAGCTTTGGAGGACATGTTATAATTTTACAACGGACCCTACACAAGAGTCGCCTGTTTTAATTAGCTATGGACCAAAAAAGTTATATATGATATTTCAAGTGTAATATAGATGACGTTAGTTACATGTTGTAAGCTCTCTTTTTATCAAGATCGGGCGGGTACACATGTTTTGTCTGAAAACTTCGTTCGTATCGGTCACATCGGAAACAGTAGACCGTAAGCGGCGTCGCAACATGAAACTACTCGCGTTGACCATACACATCACGAAATTATATTGACTAAGTTAGTAAGCTTCGTTGGACCTTTCCACATTATTGACTCCAATTTTCACGAGGTTTTTTGGCAGGTGAACTCTACCTAAAACAAAACAGCTTTTTCACTATATTTGGCAAATAACTATTCATCCACAATCAAATCAAATCAAAATATACATTATGAGTGTGATTTGATGGTATATTAAGAGTAAATAGTAACTTCAAATATCAATTTACTCTACATTCCACTATAAATTTCCCAAATGGAATATAATTTTATAAACATTTACTCTAGTTACTATTTAAAAGAAGAAAACTATACACTCATTTCTACTCTGCACTTTGCTAGACTAAACACTTTTTGCCACTATAAACTTTCTACTCATTTTCACATTTTTCTTTTACTCTATTTTACTTTAATAAATCCAGTCACAATCTATATCACATCTACGTTAGAAAACATCCTCTTATTTTTTTTGTTGCCGTTGCCTACATGAAATAGAATGACACATGTTTGGTAGAACTAAAAAAACAAACAGAAAGGAAGCACCATCTGCTTATAGGATCTACTAACTACGAACTCAGAACTTGTAGTAACAGCGTAATTCTGTTCATGTGCACCAGTCCATGTATGCAAGTGCATTCAACCACATCGTGGTGGTCTAGTGGTTTCCACTAGAGGAGGAATTGCCATGTTGGTCTAAATAAGAGATTGATTCCCCTCTAGTGCAAAATTATTAGCTCCACATGTAGTCACGCGGATATGCACTATTGCTTTCGGCCTATTTGAATGCTTCTACTAGAGTCTATCCGTGGGGTGTATCTCCATACAGAAATTCTGTCTTTATCTTTAATAAACCCCGGATTTAACCCTTATTTCGTTCAATAAACAGATTGTGCAATCATATGTTCTCTCTATATATATATTTTGTAGTGAAAATAGAATAATGAGTAAAAAAATAAAATCACTACTTTGTTTAGTAAAATCCAATTTTTATTCAATTGTGGAGTGAAAAACAGATTTAAAATATTTTACTTTTAGTTATGTTTTAGAGAGAAAATTGAGTATAACTAGAGATTCTTTTATGTTTTCCAACATATTTTGGTCTCCTTACCCTCCGTGTTGCTATGGATCTGTTCTTTTAGTTTTTTTTAGGCTTGTGTGTTGAGTTTCTGAAATACTTTTTTGGGAGCTGCAAAACACTTATTTACTTATAGCATCACTTTTTACATTACTAAGCAATGAAATGAGCATTTTATATTAAATACTCAGAACTGGCAGTCACAATTAATCATGTTTGTGTCCATGTAAACAACACATAATGTTTTATATAGGTTTTGTCCAACAATTTACTCGAGGTTAAAAAATCCTAATGCATTTTAATATGGAAGACATTATTTCATCTAGCTCAAATGGTTCAATCCCAATAAGAAATTAGACACTTTCAGAATTGGCAGTCAGCCAGTCACAATTAATCATGTTTGTGTCCATGTAAACAACACTTTGTGCAATCTTATGTTTTATAAATAGGTTTTGGTCCAATAATTTACTCGTGGTTAAGAATTTTTAATGCACTTTAATAGGGAAGACAATATTTTATCTAACTTAAATGGTTCTAATACTAATAAATTAGACATATAGTGTTAGTCCATTTTTTTGCATAGTTCTCTGATTTTTTATGTTCGGTTTTCTCAGCGAAGATATGAATGTTTTCATTCATGTATTTTTGTTCACAACATCAATTATAGGTAAGTTTACGGCGGTTATCCTGAATTCCTCAAATAATTCATTAGTATAATATTGGTGTAAGACTGTATTGGTTGTTCGGATGGTTGTTAAGTGCATATATAACACGAGGAATTTTGGCAGGTCACCAACAAAAACAATAGAATATTCAAAATTCCTGTTCAAAGTTTCATTAGTTAACCTTTCTATTAAAATATAGATTTTTTTTGAACGTTAGAATTGTCTAGGTTTTCAACAATGGTGGTAGTAATCAAGATGGACCCGACCCACGCTGGCCACTAGGACACATCCTCCAAGATTTTCCTCACTACTTCCTCCCCTTATTCTTTCTTTCCAACACTTGAGGGTATTATAGTCATTCCACAGAACTCAAAGACCCGTAAAACCATATAAATTGGAAGGTGAGGCTCTAATCCATGCAGAGAAAACAATAACACACAACCAAGTATACTTTGCTTCTTCTGATCTCTCTCTCTCTCTCTTCTCTACACGAAAACATGAACACTTTTACCTCAAACTCTTCGGATCTCACTTCCACTACAAGGCAAACGTTGACGTTCAGCAACATGTATCTCCTCACTACGCTTCAGGCCTTTGTTGCTATAACCTTGGTGATGCTCTTCAAGAAAGTACTGGTCAAGGATCATAATAAAAAGAAATTGTCTCTTCCCCCTGGTCCCACCGGATGGCCCATCATCGGAATGGTTCCAGCGATGCTAAAGAGCCGTCCCGTTTTCCGGTGGCTCCACAGCATCATGAAGCAGCTAAACACTGAGATTGCCTGCGTGAGACTAGGAAACACTCACGTGATCACCGTCACATGCCCTAAGATAGCACGTGAGATACTCAAGCAACAAGACGCTCTCTTCGCCTCAAGACCTATGACTTACGCACAGAATGTCCTCTCTAACGGATACAAAACATGCGTGATCACTCCCTTCGGTGAACAGTTCAAGAAAATGAGGAAAGTCGTGATGACTGAACTCGTTTGTCCCGCGAGACACAGGTGGCTCCACCAGAAGAGAGCTGAAGAGAACGATCATTTAACCGCATGGGTATACAACATGGTTAAGAACTCGGACTCAGTCGATTTCCGGTTCATGACAAGACACTACTGCGGCAATGCTATCAAGAAACTTATGTTCGGGACAAGAACGTTCTCTCAAAATACTGCACCTGACGGTGGACCAACCGCGGAGGATATCGAGCATATGGAAGCCATGTTTGAAGCATTAGGGTTTACGTTCGCTTTTTGCATCTCTGATTATCTACCTATGCTCACGGGACTTGATCTTAACGGCCACGAGAAGATCATGAGAGATTCTAGTGCGATTATGGACAAGTATCATGATCCTATCATTGATGCAAGGATCAAGATGTGGAGAGAAGGAAAGAGAACTCAAATAGAAGATTTTCTAGATATTTTCATTTCGATCAAAGATGAAGAAGGAAACCCTTTGCTTACCGCCGATGAAATCAAACCCACCATTAAGGTAATAACCACGTTACATTTTTGTGTGTGTCACAGTTACATTTCTATAACCACTACACTAGCTACTAGTATTCACGTGTTACTGATATGATGAATAAAATATACTAAAAAGATTGAACTTATTTAATGATATATAGGAGCTTGTGATGGCGGCGCCAGACAATCCATCAAACGCCGTAGAATGGGCCATGGCGGAGATGGTGAACAAACCTGAGATTCTCCGTAAAGCAATGGAAGAAATAGACAGAGTTGTCGGAAAAGAAAGACTTGTCCAAGAATCAGACATCCCAAAACTCAACTACATCAAAGCTATTCTCCGTGAAGCTTTCCGTCTCCATCCCGTTGCCGCCTTTAACCTCCCACACGTGGCACTTTCCGACACGACCGTCGCCGGGTATCACATCCCTAAAGGAAGTCAAGTCCTTCTTAGCCGATATGGGCTGGGCCGTAACCCGAAAGTTTGGGCCGACCCACTGAGCTTTAAACCGGAGAGACATCTCAACGAATGCTCCGAAGTTACTTTGACGGAGAATGATCTTCGGTTTATATCGTTTAGTACCGGTAAAAGAGGTTGTGCTGCTCCGGCTTTAGGCACGGCGTTGACCACGATGATGCTCGCGAGACTACTACAAGGTTTTACTTGGAAGATGCCGGAGAATGAGACACGTGTTGAGCTGATGGAGTCTAGTCATGATATGTTTTTGGCTAAACCATTGGTTATGGTCGGTGAGTTGAGACTACCTGAGCATCTTTACCCGGCGGTGAAGTAAGGCGACGGCGTATATATATCTTTATTAAATAACATCTTACCGTTCTTATGTAATTAACCATGAAGTTTGGTCAATATCTCCGGTTACCAAAAGATAATCGGTCAATATGTGAACGAACTTGTGCTTGGTTTTGGTTCTTTGGGTGGGTACACTTGAACAGGCCCGGCTCAATGGTTGCAAGGACCCTGTGCTATAAAAAAATTGTTTAAAATAATAATAACCCAATTATATTTGGTTACAGATCAGTGACCTCTAAATTGTGAATGGGCTTTACACTTTCACTATAAAAAGTAAAAATATATGCTGAATTATCTCTCTATTCCAGTTCTGTTTCTATTTTTCTTACAGAATTTAGGGCCTTTTCTTGAACGATAGAAATAAATCAGGGCCCCAAAACCTAAAGAAATTCAGGGGAAATAAATAAAGACCCTGTGCTTTTGCACTGCTAGCACATGTCTAAAGCCGGGTCTGCACTTGAATTGTGTGTCCTTTTCTTTTCTTTTATTTTTTTTAATTTCAATAAATTTTGCTATTCCCTCTTTCTTGTTTCTTTTAATAATAAGAACCAAATAATATATCTGGCAACAAATTATGAATGTGTTATAAATTGCTTTTTCCATTCACTACAGAGAAAATTCCATGAAATTACTCTAACTAAATTTTGTTAAAATTTTTAATATCTAACTTTTCTTTTCTACCAAATTTAATATATGAACTAATTATTTTTTTTTCATTTTAATAGACTAATTTTTAGAATAATGTTCATTTTAATAAATATTTTTTATTTAAATAAATAGAATTTCTGTATTAACATGAAGATTTTTTTGTTTTGTTTTTTTGTAACACTTATTAACATGAAGATAAATTTAAAAATTAATGTATTAAAATAAGTTTGAGAAAAAAATAATTTAAATGAATAACAGTAGGTAGGGATGTATAAATGAAAGTAACGATAGATTCATATCGACAAAGGGGCCCATGCAATGCTAATGTTGAAACGAGCCTGTCTCTTGTTCAAACCCAGACTTGTCGTTACTCTCCGAACACTCTCTTCATCAAGCTACATCGATCGTCACATTAGTGTGATTCTCTGTAATGAAATCTCAACTCTAGAATCTCTCCGGCAACACAACGCTCTTATCATCACAAGAGGAAATTCGGACAATATCTTCGTAGCTTCGAAGCTAATTTCATCTTACGCTTCGTTCGGGAAACCAAATATATCATCCAAAGTCTTCTCCTTGGTTCGTCAAAGAGATGTCTTTCTATGGAACTCCATCATCAAAGCACATTTCTCCAATAAAGATTATCCAAAAGCGCTGTCTTTCTTCTTCTCGATGCTTTTGTCTTCCCAATCCCCTGATCATTTCACTGCTCCGATGGTTGTTTCCGCTTGTGCGGAGCTTTTTTGGTACGATGTTGGGAGATTCGTTCACGGTTTGGTTTCGAAACACGGAGGATTAGAACGAAGCTCTGCAGTGGGAGCTTCTTTTGTTTATTTTTACTCAAAGTGTGGGTTTTTGGAAGATGCGTGTCATGTATTCGACGAAATGCCTAAGAGAGATGTGGTTGCTTGGACTGCGGTTATATCTGGCCATGTTCAGAATGGAGAGAGTGAGAGAGGTCTTGAGTATCTTTGTAAGATGCATAGTGTTGGTTCTGATGATGAGAAGCTGAATGCAAGAACGTTGGAATGTGGGTTCCAAGCTTGTGCGAATTTGGGAGGTTTGAAAGAAGGAAGGTGTCTTCATGGGTTTGCGGTCAAAAATGGTTTAGCTTCTTCCAATATTGTCAGGTCGTCGATTTTTTCGTTGTATACAAAATGTGGGAGTTCAGCTGAGGCTTATCTTTCTTTCCGTGAGCTTGGTGGTGGTGATGATGAAGATGTGTTTTCATGGACTTCGATTATAGCTTCACTGGCGAGATCGGGGAACATGGAGGGAAGTTTCAGTATGTTTTTGGAAATGCAGAGAAAGGGAATACAGCCAGATGGAGTTGTTATTAGTTGTTTGATTAACGAGTTAGGTAAGATGATGCTTGTCTCTGAAGGTAAAGCCTTTCACGGCTTTGTCATAAGGCGTTGTTTTGCTTTAGATGGTACAGTTTGCAGTTCGTTGTTGTCCATGTACTGCAAATTTGAGCTTCTCTCTGTGGCTGAGAAGCTTTTCTGTAGGATACGTGACGAAGGAGACAGAGAGGTTTGGAATACAATGATTAAAGGCTACGGTAAAATGAAATGTGATGTGAAGTGCATCGAGTTACTTGGAAAGATTCTGAATCTCGGCATTGAAGTTGACTCTGGTAGTTTGGTCTCTGTCATATCTTCATGTTCACACATAGGAGCAGTGCTACTAGGGAAGTCTTTGCATTGCTATGCTGTCAAAACTAGTTTTGATCTCAACACTTCAGTGGTCAACTCCCTCATTGATTTGTATGGAAAGATGGGAGATTTGACTGTGGCTTGGAGGATGTTTAGTGAAGCAGATAAGAACATCGTTGTAACTTGGAACTCAATGATTGCTTCTTATGTTCACTGTGAGAGATCCGACAAGGCCATTGCGTTGTTCGATAGAATGATCTCTGAGAATCTCAAACCCACTTCAATAACTTTGGTGACTGTGCTTATGGCTTGTGCCAATACTGGATCTCTAGAGAAAGGGCAAAAGATTCATCACTACATCACCGAAACAGAGCATGAGATGAATCTTTCTCTCACAACTGCTCTGATCGACATGTACGCGAAATGTGGACAGCTTGAAAAGTCAAGACAACTGTTTAACGCTGTGAAACAAAAGGATGCCGTTTGCTGGAATGTAATGATCTCAGGCTACGGAATGCACGGAAACGTAGAATCTGCTATAGAGCTTTTTGAAAAGATGGAAGAGTCTGATGTTGAACCAACGGGGCCTACATTTCTCGCACTTCTATCAGCTTGCACGCACGCAGGTTTAGTCGAACAAGGGAAAAAACTATTCCTCAAGATGCAACAGTACAACGTGAAACCAAACTTGAAGCATTACTCTTGCCTTGTGGATCTTCTATCCCGGTCTGGTAACTTGGAGGAAGCTGAAAGGACAGTGATGTCAATGCCGTTCTCGCCAGATGGGGCTATATGGGGAACTATGTTGAGCTCATGCATGAGTTATGAGGAGTATGAGATGGGGATACGAATGGCGGAGCTTGCGGTGGCTAGTGGTCCGGAGAACGATGGGTATTATATAATGCTTGCGAACATGTACAGTGCTGCAGGTAGGTGGGAAGAGGCGGAGAGGGCAAGAGAGGTGATGAAGGAAAGTGGTGTTGGGAAGAAAGCTGGACATAGTGTAGTCTATTAGACTTGGTAGTGAATCTTTTAAAACAAATGCGAATAATCAGATTTATCACTTTTTTTTTCTTATAAATTTGATTCAGTTATCGTAATCAAACCGGTGACCTACCTCATCCGGTTAGGTTTATTTTTAATAGGTAAATAAAATAACGATATTAATAATAATAATTTTGAAATAAAAAGAAAAGGGTTGGGAGTGTGAGAGTCTTTCATTTGTAGAGAGGTTTTCTTATCTACCGCACAACTCTCTCTCTCGCTTCTCTTCTCCCGTCGTCACCACTCGATAACGGTAAGGTTCAGCTTCTTCAGTCTTCTTCACCGGTTTTTCTCTCTTCTTCGATTGAAATCATCCACAAAATGTTCTTTTTCAAAAAAAAAATTCCTCCGCAGCACCGAGCTCGTGTTTAAAAGAGAAATCAATCGTATTTCTTCGTAAAGTTGTGTCCTTTTTATTGTTATTAAGGTGAAAGTGAAATTCTTTTTTTTTGTCTGGAATCTGTTGTCGGGTTAATACTTCATGAAATGAAATTGCATACATCTTATTCTTATTAGGTGTTTAAAAGCTTGAATCTTTTGTGTGTTGTTCTTTCGATTTCTTTGTTGACGAAATTTTTTTAAAAAAACTTGTTTTGTGAGGCAGGGAGTGCAATGGCTCTTATACAATTTGGAAGCTCATGTGTTGCTGCTCAGTGGGGGATTCGTCGTCCTCAGGTTGCAGTCAAAGCTTCTTTTTATCCAACCAGATTGGAATCTCACCAAGACAAGTAAGAGTCTTTTAACTTTACCACAGCTTAGTTGAAGAAAATTTAATTTGTTGAGATTTTGCCTAGCTTAGTTGGTAAAAGTCTTTTAGTTTCACTGCTTTCTAAAGTTTTATGTATCTAAGTCTAATGGAGTTGTCTTTATATTGAAACCTTTTGCAGTTGCGTCAGCCAAATAAATTGTTTGGGAGCTTCACAGTCGAGTATGTTCTCACATGGCTCCTTGCCCTTCTTGTCACTTGTAACGGGACAGTCCCGTAATACACATTCTCGTAGAGGAGCTCGATTCACTGTTAGAGCAGATACTGTATGTTAACATTCTCCTTTTTAGCTATTGAATAATGATATGATGATTCTCCTTATTTGTTATCTACTTAGCAGAATGAAGTCGTACTGATGTTTTTTGGCTAAAGATTTGATTGTTTTTAACGTGCAGGATTTCTATTCTGTCCTTGGAGTCTCCAAAACTGCAACCAAAGCTGAGATTAAAAGCGGTATGTCATTCCTGTTCCTTTTCACGAGACTCTCTAATCATCAAACTTCAACTACCATGTGTAGCTCTCATCAAATGATTCCATTTGAGCTTCATTTGTTCGAATTTTGAGTTGTTCTTTTATAAAGCTTGACAAGGATAGTTGTTTTCCTCTCCGCCTATTTTCAGCTTATCGGAAGCTCGCTAGGAGTTACCATCCAGACGTGAACAAGTAAGTGGAAAACTTTACTTAAAAATTCAGCATCTATGATAAAGTGTCTGTATTACCTTCCTGCACCATGATTGGTGTGTTTATTTATTACAATTTTTGCAACTCTTTCTTTGGTTTAGTTTCCCTACATGAACCGTACATATAACCACCAACCTTTAGAAATGTGTCACCATAGTCTAAGATGCTGAAGACCCTGAAAACATTTCTTAAGTTATTAATGCTCACCGTTTTCTTTATTCTTTTGGTTACAGGGATGCTGGGGCAGAAGATAAATTCAAAGAAATAAGTAATGCATATGAGGTGAGTTCCATCTTCGTCTTATGATGCTGTTAGCTCTTTTTCATGACTCTGCTGTTACTTTGAAGAGCCTAAAACATGTTTGATCTTGGCTGCAGATCTTATCAGATGATGAGAAAAGATCTCTATACGACAGATATGGCGAGGCAGGAGTCAAAGGCGCCGGAATGGGAGGCATGGGGGTATATATAAAACACATTTCTTCTTTAAGACACTCCGATGCTGAGATTGCTGACTTTGTCTTCTCTTATTTAACGTTTTTAGGATTACAGTAATCCATTTGATCTATTCGAGTCACTATTCGAAGGAATGGGTGGGATGGGAGGTGGAATGGGTAGTAGAGGTGGTGCAAGGAGCAGAGCAATCGACGGTGAGGATGAGTACTACTCACTAATCTTGGATTTCAAAGAAGCTGTTTTCGGTATCGAGAAAGAGATAGAGATCTCCCGGCTAGAGAGCTGCGTGACTTGCAACGGCTCAGGGGCAAAAGCTGGAACCAAACCTACCAAATGCAAAACATGCGGCGGTCAAGGACAAGTGGTAGCATCTACAAGGACACCACTAGGTGTATTCCAACAAGTCATGACTTGCTCTCCCTGTAACGGAACAGGAGAAGTTTCAAAACCATGCGGTGCTTGCTCAGGAGATGGACGTGTGAGGAGGACTAAAAGGATCAGTCTCAAAGTTCCAGCTGGTGTGGATTCCGGTAGCAGGTTGAGAGTAAGAGGAGAAGGGAATGCAGGGAAGAGAGGTGGATCAGCTGGTGATCTTTTTGCTGTTATTGAGGTGATTCCTGATCCGATATTGAAGAGGGATGATACGAATATACTCTATACGTGTAAGATATCGTATGTAGATGCGATATTGGGGACGACTTTGAAGGTTCCAACGGTTGATGGAACGGTGGATTTGAAAGTACCAGCAGGGACACAGCCGAGCACGACGCTTGTGATGGCGAAAAAGGGAGTACCGGTGTTGAATAAGAGTAAGATGAGAGGTGATCAGTTAGTGAGAGTGCAGGTGGAGATACCAAAGAAGTTGAGTAAAGAAGAGAAGAAACTTGTTGAGGAGCTTGCGGATATGAGCAAGAACAAGGTAGCTAATAGCAGGAGATAAAAAGAAAATGTGGTGGTGGTGGTGTTACTACATAGATGATCCTCTCTGCTGGAAATCTTTATTTATGTTTCTTCTAGTGATAGAGAAGAAGAAGAAGAAGAAAGACTTTTATTATTAGGTGAGAGGAAAATTGAAGAAAGACTTTCTTTGGTTTTTTCCTCTGTAATTTTTGTTTTTAAAAGAATGTTTTGTGATGGTGGGGGATTGATCAGGGCTCAGAATAGGTCTTGTGTTGTATTGTACTACTATTTTATATATTTTTTCAATCTTCTTTATTTTGATTGATGAGTAATTTATCAAACACATACAAATGTTCAAAAGATCTTTACCAAAATAAAAAATTAAAAGGAGATGAATGTCCGTATTATTGACAATGGTTTTGAAGCAGAGTTTCCACATCTTTCATTCTACGGAGAAAGAAAATAAAACAGTAAACACCCTAAACTCCTTTGTGCTCGTTAGGGGACAAAATAAATAATTAATCAAAGCTGAACACAATCTAACGGTTAGATTCAAAAAGAAAGTGTTTTGGCTTTGAGAAAAATATATAGCCGTTACGGGTTGCAGAAAAAATAAATAATAATATAGCATTATAGCCGTTACGTTGCGTGCAGCAAGCTGCTCTATAAATATACAACACATCAGAACTCAAACACAACTTTTCCGACAAACAAACCAAACCCATTATCCCTTCCTTCGTCTCCCAATAATATCATGTCTGCTTACAAAAATACAGAAGAAGACCGCTAATGTCAAGAAATCTCGACCCTCCTTCCACTAAAACTCTCTCTCTCTCTCTCTCTCTCTCTCTCTCTCTCTCTCTCTCTCTCTCTAATCTTTCAATCCCGTTTCTGTGCAATGGTGAACCACCAGAAAAGTAAAGAAGTGCTTCGGAGGCCCAATGACCAAACCGGTTTCCAAAAATCGATCAAAGCCGATGGTCTCCAATTCCTTGTCGGGAGAACCATTCGTTGACTCAGTGGTGGAGCTCCAGTTTACATGGCCACCGTCTCCAATCTCCTCCTAGGTCTCTCTCTCTCTCTCGATTCAGATCTTTGTCTTATTTAGAACAATAGTGAATATCATTGTCTGAATTTTAAAATCTATGTTTCAGATGTTTGAACTTGCTGCGAAAGACAACAAGATGTCGACTATCAAGCCCTCTTCGTCTTCTAATGCGATTAGGAATGATGAAGATTTGGGTTAAGCTTGTACCAAATTAGTCGTCTTGTAGTTTTTTTTAAAATTTTTTTAGAGAGGGAGAGAGAGAAGGCAGAGTGATAGAGAGAGAGAGGGGTGAGGGAGAGGTCAGAGAGAGAGAGGTGAGGGAGAGAGAGGGGGAGGGAGAGAGAGAGCACGCGGCTCGAGGAGCGCGGCTCGAGGAGCGCGGCTCGAGGAGCGCGGCTCGGGGAGCGCGGCTCGGGTAGCGCGGCTCGGGTAGCGCGGCTCGGGGAGCGCGGCTCGGGGAGCGCGGCTCGGGGAGCGAGGCTCGGGGAGCGAGGCTCGGGGAGCGCGGCTCGGGGAGCGCGGCTCGGGGAGCGCGGCTCGGGGAGCGCGGCTCGGGGAGCGCGGCTCGGGGAGCGCGGCTCGGGGAGCGCGGCTCGGGGAGCGCGGCTCGGGGAGCGCGGCTCGGGGAGCGCGGCTCGGGGAGCGCGGCTCGGGGAGCGCGGC